AATTTCGTATTATAAATTAACAGTGTTGAATAATAAAAAAATTTTTTTAATACAAGAAATGCACATTATTCAGGAAAAAAAAATTTTTCAATAATGTCCTTAAAAATCCAAAAAATAATATTGTCCAAGTCTAATATTAATTAATGAAGCACCACTAATCATACACGAAATTCGATAAAGTTTTGATTTCACAAATTTCTTTCGATAACATTTCATAAACTGACGTAAATTAATGAGACATAAATAGTGATTGTAAAAAGTTCCAAAGTATGCGTCAGATAAAAAATATATGAGTTACTTTTTATTTCTAGTCGCAGCTGTAAAGATTATTTTAATAAATAAAAGTATACCATCAGCTAGCCCTTCAACTCAAATATTGTTCTATTCCTAATGATTTACTACGTTTTGACTATAGCCTACTTGTAGCTCTTATTATGTTAATAAATAATACCTTTAAAAGGCACACAAGACAATTGTCAACGAAACACTACTCGCGAGAGTCACGAGCTTCTTTAGCTTGTGAGGACTGTTGATTTATTACTTTTTTTCATTTACCGTTGCCTAATTTTTAATGTAATTTTATAGAAAATTTTACAAATTCAATCGATATGGGCTAGTAGCACTAGTAGGCTAAAGCCAAAATATTGTAAATCATTTGAAATTAAATCGTATTGAGAATAGCTTCATATTCGACGGAGCATATTTTTAGACATACCAACAAAAGATTATTATTATCGCAAAGTGCACTAGATGTCACGGCATTATTGTATCCAATAAAATTCTTCAATTATACGTGACGGAGAACCTTATAAATTCGATAATTACAGTTTTAGAGGTTGAAGTATTCGATATTATAAATTTTATTGTAATTTTAAATTTTGTTGTATTATGTTTTATAAGTATGACTAAAATTTATAATTTTATTGAGCAAGTCTTTCCAATTAGAGTCACATTGATTAATAATTTTTCAATTAGGGCATTAATATAATGATTCAAAACACTAATTGCTTTACTTTATTATTTAAAATAAATTGGGTAACGTTAAAATCCTTAATAATAGACAGTATAACAACCAGTTAATGTACACATATTGTGAGCACTTTCGTCAGAGTAACAGAGGAACGAATAATTATTTTTCATTAATTTTTTCTAAATTTCGAAATAATTTTATAAAAGTAAATGTTCTCGATCAATGTTGGCTTATAATTTTTAAAAACTGATAAACAGACGGAAATAGGTGTTAACTGTACAAATTAAACGTGTTTACTTTTATCAGAACAGCAATGACGTGCTGAATGATTTTAACGTTCATTATTAACGTTATTATTGTTAATGTTGATTTTAAAGCTGTGCGAGAACTCAAAAACGAAAAACCTAGAAATAAAAATTATTTTTGTTGGGTTTTCCACACTGATACGAACTAAAAGTTATCAAGTAAATTTTATACAAAGTGTTTTTTTTTTCTTGCAAGATTTGAAACAAGAAACGAGGCAACAGTACGAGTTGAACCCCCTCGGAAAAAAAAACCACAACCTCTATAACAATTGCCATCAGACCAGCAAGAAAAAAAAAAACATTAACAA